TGTCAGTTTCAGAGGGTAACCTCTTAATTTAGTGTTGTGGTTCAATTCCAGCAGCGGACAGCAAATGTGGTTTGGGTTCTTCAGAATCTGGTAAACCATTATGAGATCCACCCGCAAAATCCGATATCGACTGCTGCACATTCTTAGAAATTTCAGTCTAAGCTGATAGGGCAGATGAAAGAGGCCCCTGACGTTCTTGGTTGCCCTCCGTTGAGGAGTCTCGATAGCAATAAGATCCTGTATCTGCCACGGCTGCCACGCCTGAATAGCATATTGCACTTGCGGTTGCACGTAAATGTTAAGCATTTGAATTAACTCGTCTAGGTATCTGCTTGGGAATTCTCAAACAAAAGTCCCCTTGACAACCTTTGGACAGGGTTCGTTAATAGACTCAGCGACATCATCAACAGAGCATCAGGTACCAAGCCCCTTCGTCCCGCAAAAATGCATTCGATCCTAAAGAGCAGGACTCGAAAATGCCTGGCGATAAGGGATGCAGCACGGCATGCCTAGAAAATTATCCCAGACTCAGCGAATTGGGCCAATTTCCTGACCCATCGCAACCATTGCACTGCACTTGTCCATGAGGACAAAGTAAGTTATCAACAGTGCCTAGCCAAAAAAATTCACTGCAAACTACAAACTACTGTATAGGCATATCAACAATCTTTGTAAAGTGAAGCATGGCATCCCTCCACTTTTCACGACAGGCGGTAGAGTTCAAAGCGCCGAGGAAGCCGCTAATGCCCTGCGGCTACAATACGCCCCAATCTTCGAACTCGCAACTGCTACCTCTCCCGTAATGTCATGCATATTACTGATTCCATTATTTACACATACAAATTTCAACCCAACAATTGTGCTAAGCAAGTTGCTCTCACTGCGTGAGCATAGTTCTCCGGGAGCAGACAACATCCGCCCGCAGACACTGAAGGCTGTGTCCAACAAGCTAGCTGAATCACTGTCACAGTTCTTCCAAAGGCGCTTTGATGAAAAACAAGCCCCCACTATGTGGAAGCGTGGCATTATCATCCGTATTTCTAAAGGTGGTAGCCGTTCAGATCTTGCAAACTATCGTCCGGTGACTCTCCTATCTGTGCTCGCGAAGGTGATGGAAGCAGTCGTCGCTGAGGCTTTAACGGACTACCTGGAAAGGTTCAACGTCTTGGTACCGGAGCAGCATGGCTTCCGACAACACCGGTCATGCACCACCAACCTACTGATTGCACGAGGTAGTTGGACGGAAGTGGCTGATGATGGGGTCGGTGTTGACGTCATCTATCTGGACTTCCCCAAATCTTTCGAGCGCTTGTATCACGCGTGCAACTTCACAGACTACAGAGCTACGGAATCGGACATCCTGTACTTGGTTGGATTGATAACTTTCTCCACCAACGAAATCTTCGAGTGCCGCACTGAAGTGTCATTTTGGCTCAAGCTTCCATCATTGCCTAGTGCATGCTCAGTGCATGTCTGCAGACCGAAAAATCATTGTTCGTCGCGACCATGCGATTTAGGTTTAGAGCCTTCAGCTGTCTTTAAAAATTCTTAGGCTTGAGTCGCGACTTGACGAGTGTAGTAAGTAGGGAATCGGTCGAGGAGTGTGGTGTTGCAATCGGATAACACCTTCCATTCATGAACCACCCCGGCGGTCCATCCAAATGGGTTTAGCGTCAGTAAAATATACACCGAGACTCCTGGTCGGACTACTTGCGGAGAGCTTACGAACGGGGTCCAAGAAGAAACCAGACTTTGCTATAACATCTGTAGTGCTCATCACACAACATTTTAGGCACTCACCCTTCAAGATACTTCTCTCTATTGGCAATACTCCGTTTTCAACTGTGCTTCCATTTTTGGAAAAGCTGGAACGCACTTTCTGGGCTGGCGCGCAGGTCTCTTGTCACCTAGTCATGAATCTCCACTATGGTTTGAAAACGACCTCCTTTCAACTTGTCTTTAAGTTTGTGAAACAAGACAATGTCTGAAGTGGCGAAGTCAAGAGAATACGCTGGATAGGACACAACGGGAGTGTGATGTTTCGCTTGATAGCTTCAGAAAAGGAGCGATGAGTGAGCCGGCGTGTTGTCATGTTGTAACATCCATGTCTGCTTTTTCCACAGTTCAGGCCGTTTCCTGTGCACAGCATTCCTCAAACGTGCTAGAATTTGATGACAGGATATTACGCTGATGCCTAGTTTGTGAGCAAATTATCGAACAGTTAAACGACGATTTCCAAGGATTCCAACAAGGACTTTTTTGACATGCTCATGCACTGTTGATGTGAAAGGTCGTCCAGGTTTGGGATCGTCACCGACTGACAAGGTGCCGTGTTCAAAAGAATTAAACCACTTATAACACTAGGTACAACTCATACAGTCCTCTCCGTATGCTAGGCTAAGTAAATGAAATGTATGTAAAATGGTTGGCAAGGTTGTAGCAAGTTTCGTCCCCACACATATGTTATTCTTCAAGGTCTTTCATTGTCTCTTCAGCTCTAATCAGAAGAATTGCTCGCGCAAGTGCTCCCTTCAACGGTTTTAGCTCGCCAACTAACATTCAGAGCGAAATGCAGCAAATGGCAGTTTGTTGTCTAAACAACCATCCACATACGATTAGCAGCCGCAGCGCGCCTCTCTGCCGGTTGGCGCGCTAATAAAAAAGTTCGGTTTCTTTTTGAACACCCCTCGTATTGCAGGCAACGAGCAAAATTTGAATTCAGTGGGAATTCTAGTGCGGCCCTAGGGTATTTCTTACCAATCCCCAGTTGATACAATTCTATGCAGTCTACCTTGGATTGATCATACCCATTTCTATCATGAATCTGAACCGAACGGGAATAGGGCAGATTAAGGATAGTCTATCTTTGGGCAGTAATCATGCCATCCGAATGGATAAGTTAAATATTAGCTGTTGGTAGACTTCCTTGTTAACGTTACCTGTCTAGTTTACCAAACTCGCGTCGAAAATACTAACCGGTACAAAGATCTTATGCTGCGCGACCTGCGGAGAATTCAACGTGGCAAGCAGACCAGCGTTAATTCGAACGTCACATTCTGCTGCTCATAAGGTGGCACCGATTACATCCAGATAGGTTGGAATATTCTGTATACGCTAAATTCTCCTTGGTATATGGAGAGTTCATTGACTATAGGACAATAGTACGACTAGTTGTGTTTCACCGAAGCGAATCAAACTCACCTAAACCTTCCTGTGAGCAGCGTACTACTCAAACACCAGAGAACAGCTTACGGTTTCAGCTCGGTCAACTATTATTCAGGAGGCTGTCTTGCCATATGCTCTGTTGTGCTTCTTCGCACCCAGAAACACTGTCACTTCAGCTGGACCGTTTATCGTGACCTGGAGACGTAAATCTCGATTTGTACAAGTTACGTCACGGACTTCCTGAGTGTAAAGACACTGTCGTTGAGTCCCATATGAGGAAACAGCTGTCTTAAAATAACGCGAATCTTCATACCCATCAAAGACCGCTCGTTGGTTGAAGAAAACCCTGGGTATCGCCTCACTTCACTTTGTCTGCGATCGAGGCGTACGAGCCGGCCGTGCGTAGCTTACCCGAAAGCATACATGCCGGCAAACACATGCGTACACTGACACGGGCTCACCTCCATCGATTCAGGTACGAAGGCCAAAAGTGCACATAAAATGGTTGGTGGATTCATAATTGCTGTGGGTAACGTTTTCAGTGTAGCGCCTGTTCTGGTTATTCCGTGCCCCTTCTACCTTCATTCTACACGGTGTCCGTAGCGTCAGGACCAGGGTAAAAATTCAACATTTGCTTTAAATAACATGTGAAATGCACGTTTTCAATCAGTTTTTTGGAAACCCATTCACATAAATAATTTGTCTGTCTTGGCTATCCTCTGTTACTGCATGTAAGTTTTGTAACTTGTGACTTTACGGACATCCGGTATAAAGTTCCACTGGCGTTTCAACTACTGTCGTTAGAGCAGGACTTGGAGGGTTTCAAGTGAGACGGCCGGGGTTATCGCCTACTTTCTCACACAACGTGGTAAGCGATATGAAAACTGGTCAGTTCTCGTGTACACGTAAACCATACATGAACAAATTCGGTGCCGAAAAATCTCACGACTATCGAAACGCAACCAGAGAAGCAAAGAAGCACCGGGTTTATTTAATGCACGCTTGTCATTAAAGCACTCGAAAGTCTCGGTCCGGAAGGTATGGTAGACAGTCGATCAACGCGAAAGAATGCACCATCATTGGCGTGTGCAGCTGGCCATACTGTCCCCCATGCGAATTCGGGGCAATAACGTTCCACCAGTCTGCCAGCTGAATGAAGAAAGGGAACAAACTTAACAAATTTGTCCGTGCACCAAAGCATTCGGTATTTACAAAAGATGATACTAATTTCCGTGAAATTAACAGAATGCCTAAATTTTTTACTGAGCAATTTCCCAGGTTTTGTATATAATGAATAAATTTTTGCTCTTCGTCTTAACTTCTGAAGTTTTGCTGTCGAAAAGCAACCTTTATGCTTAATCGTTTATTTGCATCCATATGCACAGATATCTTTCACCTTTGCCGCCGTGCACTCATCCACGACTTCCTTGGTAATCAATTTGCATCAATTGCAAGTAAGCACTTATTTGCTTCACACACCAAATTATATTTTCCTAATCAAACCCCTACTGAACCATATCGAAGGTAGGAATCCCATCAGATTACTGTTTATGGCAAGATACATTTTGTGTTTATATAAAGATAAATACTTATTCTCGTCCGAACTGCCTAGTTGGATTCTCGCGCTGTAGACTGGCGGAACGCTACCCTCCTGGGCAGTGCCCTGAGTGACGTAGTACGAGTGTTTGCTTGCTTGGATCGAGTGGCCAATGTGATTGGTGTGTCTCCTAGGCCAATCGGATAAGTCGTAAAGCTTTAGGACGATCGTTACACCTAAGCTGTCGCCATGGCGTTTATGGGTTAACCATCTGATTGGTCCGACCTTATGAATCAGGGTCAGTTACGATTTCGTTGAACTAACTGATAAACTCCGGATGACCAGTCTGTTGTGAGGATTTGGCCTACCTTAGTGTTCCGTCCGTCTGCATTATCATCAATTAGCGCCTACCACACGACAGATTAACCACTGCCTGTGGGCGCGACCGTGTTCTGAAGCGAGTGAATAAATGCCTCCGTTGTGCTGGACCTGAAGTCACATATGTGGCACAGTTTGGTCAGCGGCTACTCGCGTCTGTCACCTGATGGGTCACAGGTGAGCACAACAACAATTCGACTTGTTATGGTAACCACCCGGTCACATCCTGGTTAACCTTTATCAATGGCATTTGTGTTTGTGGCTAGATGGATGAATAGTGAGCACTGTCTACGCTCATATTGGTGACACATCAGTCATGGTAATTACTCATTCGTTGTTGCACGGTGATGTACTAAAGACCAGTTTGTCACCGCTTCGTTGGCAAATGTAAAAATAGAAACTAATGGTTACTTCCGATTACCCCTGACATTTCGAGCTTACCTCATTACTCTGTTGATTTTCGTTGCAGGGGCGTGGGCTGACATGGACCCTTTTACTGTCAGCTTTCATGGTCAGCTTCGGATCTCCCTTTCTCATTGGTTACAATTTGGCCATTTTGAATCTACCAGCTCCAGTAAGTTCGTCTCCGTGTTGTCAACATTGTCTGTTTGTCTGAGCGCATTTGTCACTGATTGAAAATCCTTGGTCCACTGGCCGGTAGGTTTGAGAATCCGGCGTACTGTTGATGCATTCGTCGGGCAGTCGCCTTAAGGGCCACAAGCCTTACTACTAATCTGAGAACGCTGGTTCGAGTCCGCGTAGGGACCGGGCGACCTTTGCAGTATCCTTATCCCACGCGCGACTGTTGGTGATTGAGCGGCAGCGAGGCGTCGGTACTGCCTTTTGAGAAGCTGCTTGCATGTTACAACCCGTAACCCTCATTTGCGTGGAGGCCTCACAGTACATACCATATTAGTAAGTTCGATTGAGGTTTATTGCCATCTGATCCTAATTCGCTCCGTGCCCACACTGGAAGTGTGGAGTTCCTACGCATTATCAGCCTTGTCAACGACAACAATGGTAATACATCAACGGCATGTACCAAATCCTGCTGTCATGCAACTTTAAATTGAAGGGATGTAAACTGGCGATCATTGTGGATGCAGATGAGGGCGTTAGGTAGTCCTCTGGGCTACATGTGTTAATTGCATATGTTTCGTTACCAGATTAAGTAACATCGCCAGTGCAAACTTCCAAATCAAGCTAGAACCCAAATTTCTATTACAAGTGTACACGACCGGAAAGCCTAAGTCACACAAGCACCGTACGGGCAGATGCAACTGTCTACTTTAAAGTGCTAGGGTATCATCGGTGGGGAAAACTTCTTCGAAGCTTTCGCTGCTTGCGTCAATATCATTTTCCACCGACAGTAAGCAAAGCACCATAAACACTTGAGCTAGTTATTCTGCCCATGTGGCGATGTCAAAATGTGCCACTGAAAACAGTTGCACTCCATGCTCCTCAAGGTGTACAGCCAAACTCGGGGTGGGCCGCGTGGACCTCACCCTAGAATTCGAGATGGACGGATTGGCTCTGGGTCGGAGACCCAGTTTTACGTTGGCAAGCCAACGATTAGCCACCTCTACACTTACGCCAGCCTAGACCAGGGCAAACAAAACAAGACCCCACGGTAAGTTGCGAGCGAACTGTTGTGTCGGGGTCCGTGTATGTGCACTAGTGCAACTTGGCCGGTGTTATTTGTTGAACTAAAGGACTGCACTGTTATTTCGTTTGCTGCACGTCTGTGCGAATCCTCATTATGCACACTCTGGTATCAATGGACATGGACAAGGTTTCGTGGGCAGCTGTGATCTTAGTGCACAGGCTGAAGAGGCCAGGCCTCACTATCGCCTAGGTGAATGACTCACAGTGTGATCTTGTACGGACGGCTTGTAAGACAAAGGGCCTCTCCTGACATCAGAGATATTTCGGACTGGTTGTCCGTGCTATTCCCATAGTGCACAGGTATTCGCCGATCGAGCAATGAGCTTATAACCCGTAGACCTGTTGTCACCCAGCGCTAGGTTTTACGGGAAGAGGGCTATCGATCGCTTCCTAACCTGCAAAGAGGATGGACTAGGAAACTGGCAGGGCCCCCACATCGGACAAGAAAACGACTCGGGTCCTCAGACAAAGCCTTCGATTAAATGTACATCCGAAAGACAGCGGGTCTAGCATATGGTCAGTTCACTGACTCTTGCGGGTTGGTGTCCTGGATCGATATATATATATATATATATATATATATATATATATATATATATATATATATATTGTTACACTTAAACTAGGTCTCTTTAAGCTGCATAAATTTCATTCCAGTTTATTTGGTTAGTTTTGTCTATCTGAATAGTCTTCTATTTGCTGGCCCCGTCGCTTACGCTAACTGCGCTTATCTTCGGTAATTTTGTTGCGTTTGTAGCATTTTTGAGTAACTTGTGGACATTTTTTCCTTATCGCGGATTCATTGCTAGCCAACTTACTTCATATGCTAATTTAGCGAAGAGTTATGCCACCGTATCTATATGCATTATTGGATTTATTTTATTTTATTTGGTCGTTTCAAGTGATTGGCTGTTGCGTGATATCCCCGGTGTGGCTGCGCTTGATGTGCATGTTGACAAGGTGCCTACCTGTCTATTACCCACTACCTCGTCCATACTGGCTCCAGGAGACAGTTGGTCGTTGCTGGAGGGGACGGGGTGCACGGTCGTTGTGGCTGTGCTAGGCTCGAAGAGTGGTTCCATGCACTCAGTGTGGAGCGGACTACGGTCCATGTACGTGCAAACAGGATGAACTGGCCAACATTATCACCGGAATTATTACAAAAGATTTGGGCACAGCCAAAGTACCTGGCACTGAAACCACGTAGCGGGTACGGTCATTTGTCTCTGATGGTTCCACGGAAAACGCTGAGCACATATGAACACTTGCGTCTCTGTTCAGAAAACTACCGCTGGTCTCACGGCCCATTTCACCATTTCTTCCGTCTCTATTCCTTGAAAACCACATTAGCCTTCATGACTAGGCAGCTTCAACCAATACGACTAATTAGCTAGTTGCACTACTGGCGTTGGTTGCAAATCTTAAGAGTCGGTGACGAGGTGATTTAAATTTCGGTGTTCGGGACGAAGATATACGCTGCGTCTGGTTTCATTTTATTCAATAGCTCTTGCATAAAATGAGTTCGCATTCAGAAAGGCTGCGTTCTTTGTCTGCTTTGTACCTGGTAATCAGTAACCTGGAAGCACTTTCACACCCCGGGATCAACCAAGGTGCGATGTTTTATGCCCGTCCAGATAATGTTAGTGAGAGAAAGGGGAGTGAAGTATCCCTAACTAAATTCCACCACCCTTCGTTGGTCTACAGAAATGTCCTCTTGTGGCAGAACTGGTCCGACGAACTGCAGCACAACCAATTTGGAAGTATCTGGCCTGCCTTTTAATACTGAATTACACTGGCAACTGCCAGCCACACTTGACTCCTGATCCACACCTTTATATTTAATCACTTCACTCAGGTCCACAACAAACAGGGTAGAACGTTTGAGTGACGAGTAACCAATGATACCGAAATCAGAACAACTTTGAATCGCAATGTCTACTGTACTATTACAAAATATACAGCCAGGGCAGTCGTAGAACCCTTAATCGTTGAGTACCCCGGTATATCAGCCTAGGCAGCGAGATGCACTTACATGCGTAAGGAGGAAGCTGGGGCTGTTTAAAACACCGTTCAAAGCAGGCAACCAGTGGACAAATGAGCGAACACTGCATGCGTGGAAGCTATCAGCAAAGTCACGGTGACTAATTCCTGACGGTTCTGTCACTGTGTGGAGGGGGTTATAGGTGAACATGAAACGCCACATACTAAACAGAAGGTAGATGACGTCGTGCAGGTGGCTCAACTGGTGTGAAGAGGCTATGGAGAGGGCGACATCATGCGAGGTGCATGAGACATCTGTTACCATCGACACTGATTGAAATGAGGTCAATTAGCGCTAGATATGGAAGGGATGAAGACGGAAGTAAGTGGTTTTGATCACTGGACAGAAGTGATAAGCGTATGGAGAGCGAATAGGGAACAATACATTCACACGGAGTTGAAGTAACTTAGGGTAAACAAACATCCGAATTTTGTGAGGAAATGTTATAGTGCACGAGCTGCTATCTCAACCAGGAAGAAAGATAATTTAATAAACTGGTTCAATCATTTGGTTCACTTGGCGTAACGAAGCTTTGTGCTTAAAGTAAATCATTGCGTACAACCTATACGGGCCGATTGTTTTCAAACGCTTTTGGTCTCGTGATTTCTCGATCGGTTCCTGGCATATTTCAAAATGTTGAAAACTAAAATATTGTCCAAATGCTAACGAAGTATACGTTTCGGAGGAATTTTCCGCACAAAGCCATAGTCCGCTACGGCCATGACGTAAAGGAGGAACTCTACCAATCCTATACATAGTCACCGTTATATATGAGCTATACTACTGGTCTACTTTGCGCAGGACCATAGCTTAGTATTAGGCGGCCGCAACAGACGAACGCCGTGACGCGGTTTCGAGACTCGAAGTAGGCCTTCTGCAGACCACGCAAAACGCTGATGAAGTCCTTTCGCCATCCACGACACATGTTGCCATGCGGACTAGGGCAACTGACGAAGGCAGTTCGTCATTATAACACGGACTGCTATGTCGCAGATTTGAGTGGGGCTGCAACCAAACACTGGAGACCGCGAACACATGTGGACGTGAGTAGACAGGTAACGGCCATCGTCCCAGCAACCTAGAGTCGGAGGTGAGGGCGTGTGACGTATAAATTTAACCATAACTGTCCTTAATATAATCCTTCCTAGTAAATCTTGTCTTCTGTTTACCCCGGATGGGTTGGACGGCGTACAAGACAGAGAGCAAAGGGGGGGTAGCGTTAAAACGCTTAGGGTGATACAGTAAGTGTGACAGTGTGACAGTTTCTACCAATTTCAGCACCGGAGAGGATTGTTTGCCTTCAGTAATCTGTTATAATTTACGACATGAATGATAGTGTTCGCTAAATCCGCTGAAATCACAGCTACTTCTGTGTACACGATTGACATAGCGAATGTTTTGCAGTTGAGCCTCACTAGTAGTTCAATTGGAACGTGTTCAAAAGGAAAGGTGGATAGATGTTTTTTCACTCTGCTAGATAGTTGCTTCTCGAACCTTTTAAGCATCAAGCACTATTCTGTTGAAGTACACAAGTGTGCACCCGAAGGCACTAGCCGTCACGGATCCAGTTTAGTGTGTGTGTGGATCGGGTACGACGGATCTGGGTTGACGTGGAATAGCACAATTCTGATTTCCCGTGAATGAGGATCCAGGGACAAGCCAACTTGACCACCTCGGTCAGAAGCTGTGTTTTTGTCTAGCACGCAGCTGTGTTTAGAATTGATTGAATGGCGGATAACCTTTAAGGTTTGCTATCAATCAACCCAGCACGAACGGAGTGAAGTTATACGTCGATACAAGGAGCAATAATAAATTTCCATTGCCTGCATCTCAATGAAACTATGGTGTATAACGGATAAAAGAAAGCTAACGGTTAATAGATCCCATAGGATGGTCGAAATGAAAATAGCGAAAGTAACGCAGAGCAAATCAATAAAAGTGAGTGCCCATTGATAAACTCACAGAAATCTTCACCACTTAACACGTATAAATACACCTGTTTAGAATACAGGGGAACATCGTTTAGTTGCTTGGCGACTGTAAGTTACGAAATGAGATCCAAATGATACAATGCATCTCATCGCTTTGCCTATCATTACATTGAGAGCATGAACAGTATACGTGGAAGAAAAGTTCCATAGCTGTCGAACTCGAAGGCAGAAGAAATTTCGGCGGCATCTCAGCGGACTCTGCTATGTGGGCAACATTAAAGGATGAACTCTCAACGTTGTGTTATGACAAAGTTTCAGTAAGGCCAGGTGTTTGGGTTTCTCCAGGATTTGGTAAGCCATATTAGGTCCCTCTGAAAACGTTGATACAAGCCGATTATATTCCTCGGGACATCGGTCTAAGTGGATATGGGAGATGGAAGAAGCCCCTAATGTTGTTGGATGCCCTTCGTTGTGGAGTCTCGAGTTCAGCGAGCTCATGCTTATACCAGGGGTGACATACCTGTATCTTGTACTCCACGTGCAGGTATAATGTTTATATGCTGACAGTCAACACACTAAAACTTGTGCGTCTATGGTTTGTAATGTCCTTGGCGTTTCTGCAAAGCCATCGGTAGAATTGTTTTCAATGCTGTCATCATTAGGTCTAAAATAGTCCCTCTCTCAGACAAGGTCCAGCTGTTCTCTCCAACGTCGTTAGCCCGCCTCCTCATACAACGGCCCGTTTTAGGAACAATTTTATGAAGATTCCTTGTGATAACAAGCATGATGTCACAATCCCATAGGGCTCTGTAACTGTTGATTTCCGGCGCATAACGTGCACTCAGGCTCCGTTCAAGTATTCCTGTGGAGAGTGGTAATGACATAAAGAGCTAAAGAAATGCTGGTCGCTAGTTTTACTGACGACGCTTCCAGACTTCAAGCGACCAGGTATGCTGCCTCAAATCATCCACAAGCTCCACCGAAACTAAGGTACCATGTAAACTGATTTACCTGGTGGGACTTTTATAGGGTCTGGGGAGCGGGTTAAAGTGGTGAGTAAATACTCAGAGCAATGGCAGATCTTATCAACAGCATCCGAAACGGAAATGTCAAGAAAGATTGATTTGGACATGTCGGAACTTCAGACAATTCTGCGGAGACATAAGATCTAAAGGCTAATCCCGAGCAAGAGCGACGTACGCTTGATGGCATGAATACAAGATGTGAGCATTAACCAATAGAAGTAGCTAAAGGTGTTAAGCCTTTGACTTGGATGAAATGGGGGAGCAAAGGGTGATCGATTTCGAAGCACAAACATTGTGCTGTAAAGAAAGTAAATGAATGAAACAGAGCACCTGGCCGGTGACTCTGAGAGCGATTTAACGCAAACCGAAATGAAATGTCCCTTGAGACGAATGCGTTGACGGTGATATCAACAAAGTAGGGAAATTATCCCATACTGATTCATTGAGTACGAGTTTTTAGCTCTGGTCTATAACAAATCCTTATTTTCTACAATACGGATGTAACGCAACGCTTCGCGTAAATATAGTTTACTATTTTTATGCAGAACCACCTCAACGGTTGAGTTCATATTCTCTACCCATCGATTTACCTTCCCTTAAATTGCTGCCACTAGCTTGTTCCAGCCACTATCCCTCTGCTTCACTGGCTTGCACCTGGTGTCTCACTCTGCCTGTTAACTGCAGCCATGTACCTTTATACTTGCATACGTTGTTTGTTCTCGTTCAACTTGTCGTGCTTTAACCTGTGGGAGCCAACCATTTGATGGCCCGTGCGTTGTCAGCATCTGTTATTTGAAATGGACCTGAGACTAGTATTGCATACGGGGACAGCCTAAACGTCAAATAAATGGCCTGATAAATGAGATATCACTTGACCCGGTGCCCCAGAAGGTAATTGCATAAAACACATGATTTTTCGGTTTTCCTGTTTTTCTCACTCGATATTAAGATCTATTCGTTTCTCTTTCCCCATTGTCTCAGTATATTCAAACCTTTCTCGGCCGCACAATACTAAACCTGAAGGAAAATCAGACTGCGGAGGGTCCCATTACTCCGGAATTTCTGTACGCACAGGTTAGCACAACATTTGTGCTTGCTAGCGCACTTGGCGCTTTCAGTTGCGGATGGGTCGCGGAATTTCTTGGAAGGTAAGTTGACCCCATAGCATTATCTAGCAGCGAGAGACAACTTGTTGTAAATAGTTCCAGCGCTAACCACGAAAGACGATGTGGCAAACAAGCTCTTCCTGGATTTTCATCATCAGGCCAAATACCTTACATGTGTGTGTGCGTGTGCACTATAAACTATGGAAGTCTTGGCAGATGATTAAAATGACAACGACATTGGTGGAGTAACATTCGCGAGGTCGGCTTCCCCGTACATAAGGCCACACCGGTCGCAGATAGTCACCGCGAGCATTTGGTTCTTACAAGTTGTTTACACGCGTACAGGTCAGGGGTTGCCAAGACACCGCGATCGATTCTGCAGCTGCAAATCAGTTTTCAGCCTGAGACCTGTCTGATTTAGTGACAGTCCCTAAGCGACGATGGTTGACAGTGATGCTTTTGTTCAGTCACTTAGAATGTTAGTGTCAGGCTGCGCTTTAAAAATTCTGCTTAGCTCTTTGGTCTTTTTCATAAACTCTGGAACAGGAATGATTTTAATGGAGTTTCGCTATCATTTACCTCGTCTCTTCTCTCCATAGTTCTCTATTCGAACTGCTTATTATTATTATTATCAATGAAGCACACAGGTCGGGCAGCCCGATTCCACTAATTACCTTTGAACTGCATCTTCTAGTTCTGAGCTGGCTAAAGCAGATCGTTTCGTCTCTCATGGCCTCTGCTTGGTAAACATTTCCACAACTCAGTGGCCCCCAGTCTATCAACATAAGGAAGTTCGAAGTTCACAATTGCGCGGATAACATTTTTTTGGATAAATCTTATCAGACATCTACAAGTATCGAGCAAAATCAAAAAAAGTTTGGCTAATGATATTACTGTCAATGAGTAGATGGCCCGAGTATCCTTCGCAACCGGAAGTGGTGTGATTAGCAAAGACAAGCGTCAAGCATTAGTTAACACAAACCATTTTGGGCTAACTGCAGCTGTAGGGCAACGAATACGACTTCAGAAGCACATCAGCTAAAACACAGATTGCAAAAACAGTGAACATCGTTCGCATCGGTTGAGAGGAAATTCCCTAACTCATGATTGATTCCCGTTAAATCGGAAGTCCACAACTGCGCGGCGAACATTGTTTCGGTAAATCTCATCAGGCATCTACAATTATAGAGCAAAATTAGAAAACCGATTGGCTAATGAAAGCTATGTCTAAAGTGGAAAAAACACGAAATCTACACAATCTATTGGCTTGCAACGGCCACAGAATGATCAATGTCTTAGTCAGTCGAAGTAGGCCGCTCAAACAAAACACATAAGAGGGGTGAACGAAGGCAGGTCAGCGGAGACAAATGTTCGAGGTGTGGAATTCTCGTCGGACTGCGTTCATGGATAAGGTAGAATCAAGCTTTGTGCCAACGTCCGTTGTTTGCACAGTTATGGTTTCAAAACCCTGATTGCCATTGCCTCGGCTGTGATTAACAAGCGTTTCTTGAGTCGTTTGGAGTATTGTTTCGGGATGGTGTATATGGCTTTGAATGAGTCGTTTGCCTGAGTCTAATGTCTGGTTTGAACCAAATACTCAAGTAACGAACTATTGATGTTGCTTACGGTGGAAATCACTTAGATGAATACATAATCGGCCAACCCCGAAGTCCCTGGGAAGGAATGCTTATGACCTTTTGGAAGACATCCAGTCTCGGCTTTGCTGAATTGGACCGGCTATGTTCACTTTATTCACCGGCGATTGATGACCTTGCTAGCGACCTTCGTAAATGTTTCACTCAATGTTTACAAGGCACATGGGAGAAAACAAGGGAAAGGGGAAACTCCGAATTACAGAAAGGGTTGGAACCATGTTCCCCAGAATGTAAGTTTCCGATCAACCCTGAGAAAAATGTGCACAATTTGTCTGGCATACAATTGAACCAGTTGCAGCTGGAAGCTTTATCCCTGGGCCAAAGTCTTTACTCACCTAACCGAAAAGCCGGCAAGTTCATCTAGACTCGGTTTCAGAACTTCATGCACCAACTAGTGGCAACAACACCTTAATCTTCATTTGCAAGCAATACATTTAACACCATACTAGTACATCTCTCACAACAGTATGGGGACAACATCGGGCATCCCAACTCGAAAATATCGAGAAGCGGTCAAACAAATTTGGCCAAAGCAGAGCTGGTCTTTTCTCGACTAAATAACGGGCATGGTTGGATACTGATGGACAAGTTTGAGCATGTTTCTAAGCTACAGACGATTATGTGTGAGGACAATAAGTTTCGACCGGAGGCATTGCAGGTAGAGACAACTGCACAGGGGGAAACAAAATTCGTTAACATTCTGAAGGATCTGAAAGAGGCGTAACAGATAGACAATTTGGTTTTCACAATGCTAGTCGCACTGCCTAAGGTGTATAAAGTCAACCTTCCCATGCGACCAATAATAGACATGTCTTCTTCGGCCTTTCACTCAGTCGCTGAATGGCTCACAGAGTTACATGAACTGGTAGGTAAAGAATTATCTATTCATACTGTAACAGATACATTCGATTTATTAAGCGAGTAATAAAGTGATGTTTTCCTTTAAGGTAAAATCACTCTTCACTAACGTATCACAGTTAGAAACAGTGAATTTCATTTGTAGTTCTCTTACTGAAAGGAATCTTGATGTTGGTGTCCCCGTGAAAAAGCCGAAAGAACTGGTCTTACGACGCCCTCTCAACGTACAGATCATATTTGATTACGTTTACTACCAACCGATTGATAGGGTTGCAATTGGTTCTGCCCTAGGCTTGCAATTGACAGATATCTTTGTCGCGAATGTTGAGCGTGGACCACTTAGAAACCTGATTGTGCCACTTGATTCTTAGTACCACTATGTGGACGACACATTCGTCGTCTTTGATGTTTCCATTGATAGCAACGATTTGCTTGATAAATTTACCGGCGTACGCCCGTCATTAAAATGTTCCATAGACACTGTAAACGACGCTGGGCTTGCCTTCCTTGATGTGCTATTGCGTCGTCGAGAGGATGAGTCAATTGAAAGAAGTGTATTCCGGAAAGCTACGTGGGTAGGTCAGTACACCCAATTTCTCAGCTGTGTACCACAGAGATACAAGCAAAATTTAGTTCGATGCCTCTTTTATCGCACCAGTGCCAGTGACACTGAAACTCAGTTCATTCTCAGTACATTTCATGGAATGGATATCCTCCCAAGTTGGTTATAAATCACTCCACACTACCCATTATACTAATGCTGTCACTACAGTACCGAAGAGGACGTCTTTCTTACAGTTCACTTTAAAGGGAATATTGTTTTTGAGATGTCATCCAACTAGGCTACAGCTCCAGCACCGCTCGTCGACATGGCGTCCATGATTCGCAGGCAAATTGCCGGCCGATTTCCACTCTGAATGGTTCACGGTTGTACTGGTAGAGTAAGTGATGAAAGTTGATTATAACAAGATTTCTGAACATAAAATCAAATACTAGCTGCAACTAAACATCTAAGATCCAGGGTGGCAAAGTACCTGCCTCCGTTCAGTTGGATAAACACATCTTCAGGGAGTGGGAGTGGGTTCCAGTGCAGCATTCAGACTAGTTGCGAAATCTGCGCATAAGCGAACAGAACCGTTCGGTTTCTTTATCACAAAGATAAGGGCGAGAAACCGGTTTGCTCAATCACTCCAGCCTGCTGCAATCGGTCAAGCTCCTATTCAACAACTAATAGTTTTGCATGGGGAACAGGACGCCTAGGTCGAAGCATTCGGAAGCAAAGTAAGCCTTGCGCGCATTTCTCTGCATTGTCCAATTCCGACTAGAAGACACAAACACCCTTAGCCGGAAGTCGTTCAGAAATGTTTTGAGCTGGATGCATCGCTACGACTGTATGGTGAAAAATGGCATTTCTTTCAGAAACCACATAGTTCTGTGGTACATTGATAAAGTTCAGTCTTTCAATCCAGTTCCCTCCTAGAAGATTAATATCAGCCATATAACTGGATAAATAGTTCCGCGGGGATGAACATCCTTGGATTTTATTTCACACCTCATCTTTCCATGTAACCTCAGTGGTTCCCCGGTGGCATTTTGGGCTGTAAGAGTTGTGCACTTGAAAGGCGGAATACCAAGCTTCGTCCATATCGATCACGTACTAATAGTGATAACGAATGTCGTATTCAGCTGCTTGGATAATGGAACATCACTGACTTTCACAGTTGGGTATTTCATTTTGCCTGCAAACTATGTGCGAAATGTTATGAGAATTTCCTTTGTCTTTGCTCCGTGATACTTGGCTTTGCTAAAGCTGGAGACTGCACGTCGTTTTAGACGAAACGAACGTCTGCAGTTCTACACAGTATGACAGTGGGTTTCCTTACGACCAAACCTCCTACGCTTTTAACATTGGTGTCTTTGGAACTTCCGGTCTTCCGCATAATGCTATGCCCCACAGTTCCAACATGCAGTCGGAGGTTTCTGGCTCAGTACATTACGGTGCACACTTTGACCACGGATAGCTGGGCGGCAGATCTGGGGTTTTGTTTTGGAATCAGCAGTTTCAATCATTTTTATGTCACACCACAAACTGATCGATCTCTAGCATTCCGCTGTAATCTTTTGCAACATCAATTGCGGTTCCTGTACTTGTTTGTAGAGAATTCGTGTTCGAATATCAGCATTAGCATGAGACTGAAGACTGCATAGGAAAATAAGACTTGAACTGATCAGCAATCGTCGTGCCCAATCTGAATTGTTCATTTTCGTGGTTCACGATCCCGGAATAGGTGACAAAGTCGCGAGCTTCCAGTTTGACCAGTTGTAAGTAATGGTAGTGAACAATGAACAAAAATGCCTGCTCACGGAATATCTGCGTCAAATTTGTCACTTTTTCCTCAATACTGAAGTCATTCGGGTTCCTGAGTAATACAAAGTTCATATAACGTTCGCGTTTGACCGCACCCAATTTCCTCAATAATAGCCGAACCTGTCAGACGTTGTCTTGTTCAGCCAACTGCACCCGGAAAA